TGTGAGTCCTATAGCAATGGAGATGGTTAATGTGAGTCCTATGGCAATGGAGATGGTTAATGTGAGTCCTATAGCAATGGAGATGGTTAATGTGAGTCCTATGGCAATGGAGATGGTTAATGTGAGTCCTATGGCAATGGAGATGGTTAATGTGAGTCCTATAGCAATGGAGATGGTTAATGTGAGTCCTATAGCAATGGAGATGGTTAATGTGAGTCCTATGGCAATGGAGATGGTTAATGTGTGTCCTATAGCAACTGAGATGGTTGATATGAGTCCTGTAGCAATGGAGATGATTAATGTGTGTCCTATAGCAATGGAGATGGTTAATGTGAGTCCTATAGCAATGGAGATGGTTAATGTGAGTCCTATAGCAATGGAGATGGTTAATGTGAGTCTTATAGCGAAAGTTGAAACGAAAAAAGAGCAATAGTATACCGAGGACAGGGTATGTGTTCTGTAACATTATGTAGGACAATGAGAAGGCTTTGACTTAAACTGAATAGATATGGTTTTAAATTGATGATTATGAGGTTAAAGACGTAAGATACTATTCAATAAACATATCAGAATGAACCAGGAAATGCATACGTAAAAAGGAGTAATCAGAATTGTGCGATACAAAATTAGTATTCAAAAACACAATGCACACAATGAGAATAAGATTTTTTTTTTTAAGCGAAACGAAAAACAAGTCATTTCTATTTCATGAAGTGTGGGTGAAATTCAAAACAAAATCACAGGGAGACAGTGGAACTCCAGCTGTTGTGTGAAATGGGACGTCAGACAGGATTGGCGAAAATAGGAGTAGATGTGGCTGTGTGGACAGAACGATATTATTATCTTTGTTATTTTTATTGTTGTTGTTTTTGTTGTAGCTGTTATTATTATAATTAGGGGTGATATTATTATTGCTATTATTATTATTATTATCATCATTATTATTATTTTATCATTATTATTATTATTATTATTATTATTATTATTATCGTTATTATCAATATCATATTCATTATCATAATCATTATTATTATCATTATTATTACTATTATTATTATTACTACTACTATTATTATTTTCATTATTATTATATCTATTATTATTATTATCATTTTTATTTTTATTATCATTATTATCATTATCATTATCATTATCATTTATAATTGTTATTATTTTTGCTATTATTGTCATAAATATCAGCATTATCCTTATTAGCATAATTGTCATTATTATTATTATTATTATTATCATTATTGTTATTATTATTATCATTATTATTATTATTATTATTATTATTATTATTATTATTATTATTATTATTATCATTATCATTATTATTATTTATCATTATTATTATTATCATTAAGTTCTGCTTTCACAGCCATTATCATTATCAATATCATTATCATTATTATCATCACTATTGTTATGGCTGTTATAATCATTACGATAATGATCAATAATATTATCATGATTGTTATTATTACTGTTATTGCTATCATTATTACTATCATCGTCATTTATATCATTACTCTAATTATTATCAGTAACACTTTTTGCGTTATTGTGATCATTAATATAACTGAGGCTGTTGTCTTTATTCCTACTACTGTTACCCTCATTATAACTATATATTTTTTTTATTATTACTATCACAGTTATCATTGCGGTAAGACATAAAGAGCCACACTGTAAAAAATCAAAGTGTTACCATCTATGGCGGTAATCAATCACAAAACCTGCAAATATCAGTAAAAAAAATCTGAACATCATTATTATTATCACTATCATCAGTATCATTATTGCCGTTATTACCATTATTGTTATTATTACTAATGTCATTATCACCATTCTCATTTTTGTTATTCTTATTATTATCATCATCGTTTTTGTCATCATTTTTACCATGATTATAATTGTTATTATTATTCATCATCATCGTGTTATCCTTACAATTATTATTCTCATTATTATAATCCTTATTATTATTATTATCACCATGATCATTCTCATTATCATTATTCTTATTTCTATTGTATTATCATTATTATTGTCATTGATACTATTATTATCATTATTATTATCATTGTTATCATTATTATTATTATTATTATTATTATTATTATTATTTACTGTCATTATTATTATCATTATCATCATCATCAATTCTTTAATCATTATCATTATAATAATGATATTACCCTTACTATGACTATTATCATTTTTGTTATAATCATTATTATTATTATCATTATTATTATTATCATTATTATTATTATTATCATTATTATCATCATTACTATCATTGTTATTGTACGATTAGTGTTGTTGTTGTTATCATTATTATTATTAGTAGTAGATCATTATATTTCCTGCTGCTATTAATACTACTATTATCATACTATCATTTTTATATTTTTTTTACATCTTTATTATCATTTTTTTTTTTTTCATTACTGTTGACATAATTTTCATCATTTCCAAGAAAACTGTTATTATTAATATTACTGCTATCGCCATTATTATCATTATCATTTAGGTAATTATTATTCTTATTGCTTTTGTTATTGTTATTATTAACTGTTAAACTGTTATTACCTCTGCCACGTTTATGTTTTGGGTAGTATTGGTTAGTTTATTGGTTAGTTGGTTCGAAGGACAACTAAAAATTGGTTAGTTGGTTCGAAGGACAACTAAAAATTGGTTAGTTGGTTCGAAGGACAACTAAAAATTGGTTAGTTGGTTTGAAGGACAACTAAAAATTGGTTAGTTGGTTAGAAGGATAACTCAAAAATGTAAGAACGGATTTTTATGAAATTTTACCTGAAGTGTGTCTTAGATGCCATTAAATTTTGCTTGTGATCCAGATTAGTGTTGTCCAAATATTTTTGCCTATTGTACCCTTTATCATCTTCTTGTACTGTTACGTACCCCCCCCCTCCTCGTCCACCATGGCTAAACAAACTTTTATTTAGGATAATAATGTACTAATTATGAAAAGACTGCATAGCAAGAAGTGTTGGTCAATAAATTCGAATTTGATGTACGAATAAAAAAAAATGATTTAATAACAAAATGCTTGAGAAATGCTTACAGAACTTAATGTGAATGTGAGGCGTGTGTTCCTTGTTTGTTCAGGTACCTTAGTTTGGACAACACTGTTCCAGATCGTGATACGGATCCAGGAACTTTTTTAAGGATTAATTAGTATTGTGAGATAGGGAAACACGGACGTCACCAATGTACTTGAGAAAGAGGTGATTTTAAGGTAATGTAATTAATCAATACTTTTATTTAGTGACCCTGTTGCCTTGGCAGAGGTATGCGCTCTTTGAGTGCTTCTAGATTTTATCATATATTTTATTATCGTCATTATTATTATTATAATTTGTTATTTTCATTATCATTTTAATTTTTTTCAATATCCTCATTACTATTATCTTTATCATCTATTATTATTATCATTTTATTAACAGTATCGTTACTATTGATATTGTTATTATCATCATTCTTGTTATTATCATCATGCCAACAACTATCATTACAACTGATATCACTATCGCCATCCCAACTCTGACCTATCATCTTAACAACGGCCATCTACGTCAGGTCATGTTCATTATTCATTGATGTCAACATCGTCATATTCCAATTGCATTTTGATCATCATTTTGATCATTAGAGAAGAATACATCATAAACATCATCATGAATTGCAGAAACAACTTTTATCTAAATACCGATGAGATAAAGAAGAAGTGAGAGAGATAATAAAAAGATGAATAAGATATATATAGAAATGTATGGAATAAAGTGCTAAATAGATAGATAGAAAAAATAGATAAGGAAAAAAATAAAGTTGATAAACAAATAGATAAGTAAATAAACCACTAATCAGTAGATTAATAGGTAGATAGATTGATGGATTAGAGCAAAATGATGAAAGAATTGACAGATAAAATAGATATTAATGGATAATAGATAGATAAACATGACAGGAAAAATAATTTTAAAAATAGACAGATTCATAAGCAGATTGGATCAATAGATAAATAGATAAATGAACAGAAAAATAAGTGATTAAACAGATCGATAGATAGATAAGTAAATTAACTAATTAATAGATCAATAGATAAATAGATAGATAAATAAACAGAAAACTAAATGACATATAGATAGCCAGATAAATTAAATGAATAGATAATAGATAGTCAAATAGATAACATTATCAGATAATAGATAGATAACCAGATAGATAAAATTAACAGATGATAGATAGATAACCAGATAGATAAAATTAACAGATGATAGATAGATAAGCAGATAGATTAAATTAACAGATGATAGATAGATAAGCAGATAGATTAAATTAACAGATAGATAGATAACCAGATAGATGACATAAACAGATAATAGACAGATAACCAGATAGATGAAATTAATAGATAGATAGATAACCAGATAGATAAAATTAACAGATGATGGATAGATAACCAGATAGATAAAATTAACAGATGAGAGATAGATAACCAGATAGATGAAATTAATAGATAATAGATAGATAACCAGATAGATAAAATAAACAGATGATAGACAGATAACCAGAGAAATGAAATTAATAGATGGATAGATAACCAGATAGATGAAATTAACAGATGATAGATAGATAACCAGATAGATAAAATTAACAGATGATAGATAGATAACCAGATAGATGAAATTAATAGATAATAGATAGATAACCAGATAGATATAATTAATAGATAATAGACAGATAACCAGATAGATGAAATTAATAGATAATAGATAGATAACCAGATAGATATGATTAATAGATAATAGACAGATAACCAGATAGATGAAATTAATAGATAGATGAATAGGTAAAGTTAATAGATAATGAAAAGGTCAGCAGCCTGACTTATCGAATGCGCATCAGGAGAATCTCTAAACGCAAGCACCACGAAGGACATCCACGCAGCAACACTGACTACACCTTACCTCTTCTACACTGAATCCAAATCCTTCGCTGAACAGGAGACAAACTCCCAGAAACGTGAGAATCCTCGTTGCACTCTGCATCCTGCAACAAGCACTCGGCCACTACTTGGGCTCTTTCGGCTGATGGAATTATCTGGCGGCGAGATAATGCCCACTGGTATCTGGACATTTCTGTTTTTTTGTGCTTTTTTTTGTTGTTATTTTTAGGATGGGGATAGATATATCGTCTCAGATTGTTACGTTTGATGTCTGAATGTTTCTGTCCATTGCAGAAATTTGGGTAGCGTTGTTTACTTTGTCTGTTTGTCATATTGAATATGTTGAACGAAGATTTTTTTTTTTTTGCCTGGGATCGTATCTTTTTGCGCTTTCTGCGTCTAATATATGAGTGTGTGTGTATTGTTGTGTGTGAATATGTATATGTGTGTGTGTGTGTGTGTGTATGTGTCTGCGTTTGTGTGTGTGTATGTGTGTGTGTGTGTGTGTTTGTCTATATGTGTATACTTATATATATACGCTTATATCAATATATCTGTCTATATGCATAAACGCATACACACACATATTTATGTATGTGTATATATACAAATATATAAATACATATATCCAGATGAACGAAAATTGATCGATATCACATTTAATGCACAAAGCTAGGGCCAAAGCGGCTACATCAGACTCAAGGTTTTTCATCTTATCTTCAAGCACAATATGCAAGATAACCTATCGACAAAACAAGATAATGCTCGTGGGCAATTGTGTATCGCCATCAGTAAAGTCCGGATTCGATACTTATTTAACTTGTAGGAAAATAGTTAATGAGAGCACTTAATATACAATCATTTCGGTGTTCTTCGGTCAAGGTCTTGCCATGCCTCAGCCGGAGACGCAGCGTTGAACCAGGTTTGCCGCATCATCTCCGGCAGCC